ACGGAGTGCGTTGAGCACAGGACTATAGATGATGATTCAAGATCTTATCGTTACTATGCTAGTAACAATAACAAAAATGACCTCTATCTCCCCGAAGGCTGGTATAGGTTTGTGACGCGAACGCGCATGAACACAAAATGTGTTTCTTCCGACAGTTACTGCAACACAGCTTATATCGGGTATTTAAGCCAAGACCATCCTTCTGTTGAAGAGGGGATTGTTACTCGGAAAGTGTGTTTCAGTTATTCTTATTCTTGTTGTCGTTATTCCACCTATATAAAAGTACTCAATTGCGGATCATTCTACGTTTACAAACTCAAACCCACACCAATTTCTTCTGCTCGTTATTGTACCGAATAGTCATGATCGAACTAATATTCGCCTGCAGTTTTCATAAGATCCAGCAGAATCAAAGAGAAAAGCACCTTCAAATCAATATAGCAACGTTTTGATTTCTTTTTAATGTGTCAGTTTGGATATCAAATTTCTCTATTTTAGATATTAGGGAGTGCATTTTTTATAATTATATTATAGTTGTAAAAAAAGGTATTGGAAGAGGCTGAGTATGATGCGAAGACGAGGTCAATATACAGTTGCCTGTCTCAGCCCTTTAGTAGAAACTGCAGTGCCATTCATATGATTTACATTTGAAAAGTAGAGGCAGTGATTTTTCTATCAACTTCATCAGTGGTAACCTAGTCTCTAAAATCTCTGATCATCTTCATCAGTTCCTGATTGTAGACAATCTCAAAGTAAACTATAAAGTTTTAAATTATTATAAAAATGACTTTTCAAATTTGATGAAGAGAAATTTATCAATGATTCCTCACTTCTAGACTGGAATAACATCTCAAGTGATTATATGGATCCAACACTAAATTTGATATTTTCTATAATCAGATATCTGATCAATTTATAAATTCGCATATACCACGTAGAATGCTCTCCAAACGTGAAATTAAGTTATCTACTAAGCCCTGGATTACTAAACCTATTCTTTCCAAAATACGATATAGAGATAAGCTCTATTCCAAAATCATTAGGTGTAAACATTCAAATCCAAATTTGATATATCTTCATAATAGTGTTGTCAAAGATGCCAAAGCGAGCAAATCTGATTATTTCAAGAATTACTTTTTTTGTAATACGAATAACATGAAAAAAATCTGGTCTGGAATTAGATCAGTTATCAACATTAGTAAAGTTAAAGCTGATTAAATTCCCAGTATTCTAGAAAGTGGAAATAAAACTGTTGACAATCCCTGTGCTATTGCTAACATTTTTAATAATTTCTTTGTTAATGTGGGTAAAAACACTGACAAAGACATTCCGTGTGGGAACTGTTGTCCAACCTCTTTTCTGAAGGGCAATTTTCCTGACTCAATGTTTCTCTCCCCCGTTTCTTCAGTTGAAGTTGATTCACACATATCTCAAATGTACAATAACAAATCCATTGGTCCCTATTATAGCATTCTAGTCCCATTGCTAAAAATCCTTCAGACACATATTTCCCCACTTATTTCATCCCTAATTAATGATTCTTTTCTCCGTGGTATTTTCCCCAGTAAACTTAAATTGGCAAAAGTTACCCCAGTTTTTAAGAAAGGCTCTAGGCAAGAAAAAGATAACTATAGGCCAATATCAGTTCTATCTAATCATATTTTAATGATTTACCACGAACACCTCGAAACTGCTTAGTTTTCACTTATTTGCTGATGACGCTAATATATATTGTTCACGTGGATTAAACCTGAATGATCTTGAACTAATCCTAAATCAAGAGCTCCATGCAGTGCCTGAGTGGATGAAATCTAATAGACTAGCTCTCAGTATTTTGAAAACTACTTTTGTTCTTTTTCACTCTGAGAGACTTTAACTATACAAGTCATTAAATTTAAAAATTGATGGTGTGAACATCCACGAAGTTTCTACGGTCAAATACTTAGGTGTCACTTTTGACTCAAACTTGACTTGGAAAAATCGTGTTAATAAACTCTGCTTAAAACTATCGAAAACTGTAGGCATATTTTCCAAATTAAGGTACTATGTTAATGTTGATATACATATTATGCTTTACTATTCCCTAATTTACCCCTTTCTTACTTATGGTATTCAAGTTTGTGGTCTAGCTTGGTCTCACATACCCAGTCTACCTAAAACCAGTAACTACTTTGCAAAAAGGAGTCGTCAGAATAATGACTTTTTCCGACCCTAGATCTCATTCTGAACCATTGCTGAAGTTTCTCAGACTCCTAAAATTCTCTGATATAATTCATCTTGAAATTCTCTCTTTTGTTTATCAGTGGTACCATAAACTAAGCCCTTCTTGTTTTGTTAATTATTTTAATCCAGTATCTTCAATTCATTCACATAATACACGTCAATCACAGATTGATAATCTGTTTGTTAAATCTGTTCATACTGCTTAATACGGCATTCGTTCACGATCAGTTACACTGTTCCAAAACTTTGGAATTCGTTATCTATTGATGTTAAGAAAATCAAGCCATTTCCAGTTTTCGTCAATATATCAAGAATTCTGTGATTGATGCTTATAATACTATTATTGATTCCTAATGTTTTACTATTATATTATTTTTAACTACTATTTAATTAATGAAGTAATACTTTTTATCTAAAACAACTATTTTGCATCTATATTCCTTCTACTCATATTCTTCTTTGGGTCACCTACTCGGTTAGTTCCACGAACTATTAAGGTGTCCCAAACTCTCCCCAAACCCCTACAATTGAAAATTTCTTTTCCTTCACAATTTCTCGGTTTTATATTTTAAAGCCCTAATTTGTATTAATTATTATTCTGTATGTGAGTTTAAATAAAAATTGACTTGACTTGACTTGACTTCAGCCTCATTTCCACTCAAGGCCAGTGCTCAGTACACAACTTTAAGATGGCCTATTATAGCTGAAAAGCTAGTCGTGGCTGGGCAAGACAAGTACATGAATAACAAAAATTATCTAATAAAAACAAAAACCTTAAAGTATTAAAAAGCCTCGCATATTGCACCAAAAATGAATAAAACACAGAAGTTAAGTGATCTAATTAGACACAGCGCTTACTGACGTACAATGCGTTAAGACAAGACCGTCACTGACTCTTAAATGATACCGCAGGAAAAAGAAAAGCAGACATTAAAACCTTTAGCACGTGTATCTATGTACGTTAGGAAATAATTGGGCGAATTGTGCTGGCGATATGTATTCCAATCAACAGAGATCGAGTTATTAAACTCAGTTAAACTGTCCATGATAGAGAGCCAGGTTACCTCTAAAGTAGTCGCACATCTTCTCGATCTGCATAATTCTTCACATCATACGAAAGCCAAATTCAGTAGTTGCCGAGAGGAGGTATTCATTCAAAATATCAGGGGCACCCAACGAGAATATAGTTCAAAACCACTTAAATATAGCATTGTTGAACGTATTTTAGTATGTAAACGGTAGATATAGGCATATTTTTATCCCCTAAAAATTTTTCATCTGTTCGGATTTCCTAGCTGAAAGTATAGTGATCCAAAAATTATAGGGATCAAAAGTTACCGTTTTGAAAATTTCAGCCAGAAAAAAGGCTCCCGAAAATTCTAGGTTACCTTTTTAAGGTATGTAAAAATCCGTTAAAAATGGCCATTTATACCAAGAACCATATGGGCGTATTTTCTATTGAAATAGGAAGGAAAAGAACGTATAAAGGTTTCCAGTATTTTTGTCACGGACAATCGGGAATCTTGTGGAACACACCTTTTCCTGCTTGACTGATATTTTGTTCGCACTTCACATTGGACAATTAGCAATTCTTTATTGAACACCAGGTTAATAGAAGGGGACGTTAATGCTCCTAAATCAGTAAAGAAACCAAAAACCTCAATTTGATTGACGGATCAAATCATGCTTGGAAATCGGTAAACAATAGGTTTGATCTTTACAGAATTTTCAAACATTGCAAATCAAATCGGAAACAACAGCCTAATAGGTTATATGGAGTCGCCAGAAGTTTAAATTGTACTTCCAAGCCCAAGAAGAAAAGTAGAGCTTTGTTTTCATCTGTCGACTCGCCAAGTTAGAGGAAAAAGGTTTTTGGTGCAGCTAATTTGTGCTGTTCTTTGTAAGTGCAGACAATGGTGGCCCGGTTGCTTGAGGTAAGGAGCCGTTTCTCTGTAGTTTTCTCTGTCCTGTTTAATTGAGATCTCGAGCTTTCTCATAAGTCAGTTGAATTTGATTTCGGGGAAAATTTTGTCTTTAAAGGAAATGTTGAGTTCACACACCCCTTCTACTCGATTAAACTGTAATTGTCAACACTCCATCGAGCAAAAAATATTGAAACTTTGAAGTCTTTTCATACCTTCAAAAAAGTGGACCCTAGGATTTTAAAGGTTCTTACTCTAAAAAAATTGGCAAAACAACGAGCTCACGAATTATTTACTCGCGAGGATAAAACACTACAAAGATCACTGAGTGTGTATCGACTTTGGCTAAAAACGAACATTTTTGAAATAAACACATTCCAATAAACACAAAAAGTACAACGTTTGCCACAACTTTATTTATGCTGTCATACTATTACTCATCTGGAGTTTATTTACTTTATGTGGTTTACCAAGCCTCATATTTGCCTCATACGCCTGCAATAATTAACCTTTACAGATCCTGCACCACAATGTATAGTTAAGATTTCCATACAACCCCAAACATTAATTTGTTATGTGTGTTAAATAATATAAGCTTGCTGCATGCATAATAAATGTATGGGTTTGGATGCACTTTTGATGTTGTGTTTGCCACTTACTGATCCACCAAGTTTTGTCTACTTTAGTAAGTACTCATGGTGTTAGGTGTCGGTTGCTGAATGTAGTCTTTTCTTTTTTTCTCTGTAGAAAGCACTCAAAAGTGTTAAGAATATAAACTACTGCAATAAGTTCAAGCTGTGTATAGCTTCTTGTTTATAATTATACAGGTTTTTTTTTTATTTATAACAACCTTTAATGCATAAAAATAGATGGTAAAAAGAAGGATGAGTGAGGGTGTAAAGAGAGAACTGAGTCCTTATGCCAGGCTGGCTCCCTCCCTGAGGATATAATATAAAATAAAACATGTAAAGGTTTCAAGGACTGTGAGCAGTCTCTCTTCAGCTCGAAAATCTGTAAGCGAGATTATTTGAGCAGCGAAGTCGCACGAGTTGTGAGGGCGCAAATTTGAATACGCTGCTCAAATACTCTTGCTTACAGATTTTCAAGCAAAAGAGAGACTGCTCGCAGTCTATATGTCTTTTAGTGTCTGCAAACTTTTCTGTTGTTATCTGACAGGTTGAATTGAAGGAACAATACTACTAGCAATCATGGATT